TCGCTTGTAGATAATTCAGCATTATAAATCCAGTTTATGAGAGTGATAAAAAAAAGTCAACTTTTTCAAAACGGAGCTAATTGAAATAAACTCGGCTTGTTTTTTCTGATGCAGTGTAACGACTCAAACCCGTTGTCCGCAGGGTGAACTTTAACCCCGGTCTCTCGCACGGCAGGACACCGTCAACACCACATCGCCTCCCGGCGGCGACTAATGAACGAAACGCTTCCTCCAAACACCGCCCTGTGAGCACGACCCAGTCAGTCGCTGTTGTTGCCAGCAAGATGTAATTAAAAGGCTTTGTAAAATACGTGCGCAGCATCTTGTAAACATGCTTAGCCTTTGGCAAAAGGAAAAATAGACGGGTTCAAATCTAGATGTGAAAGATTAAACGGTTGCCTGGCTTTGCACCAAAGGGTCGGGAAGAAAGCTGGGGAGAAAGAAACAAAACAAAAAAAAACAGACTTCACCTGAGGAGAGTGCAGGGAGAAAAGAACTTCCATTTGAAGCGACGGCGTTCAAATGAATCCGTTGGCAGGTATGACCGAGTCAAGTTTTCTAAATCTTCTTTTGGCCTCATGTCTGTCCTGGCAGAAATGTGGCTACCCTGCAGACATTTTCTACAGGGTAGAAATCAGAACTTTGGAACAACCATTTAAGATATTGAATTTTTCCAAACTTTATCCACTCAGAAGTCAGTTTTAATTTATGTTTGGGATCACTGTCCTACTGGGACAAACACAAGTACGTCCAAGTTTTAAGTCTCTAATGCCAGATAGGAGATGAAGTTGAAGGCTTTCGATGTGGTTTTCCTCCTTCATTACTCCATTACTCCAGTAAAAAACACTGGCAACAAAACAGCCCCTCATCATGATGCTGCCGCAACCATATGTGACAGTTTGTACAGTGTTCTTACAGCAGATGGATCCAAACTATTGACAGTATTAATATCGAGTCGGCATCGGTATCAGAAAGATACTGGGGTGATAAGATCGATTGCTAAGATTTGCTCTCGAACAATCATTTTTGTGGATGTTGTTTATTTTGAAAACAATGCAGTTTTGCAGTTGTTTCTGTTTATCATTTCAATATGTCATAAAAGTGCATTGTAGACATCTATAAATTTATCTAAATTCGGTTCTAGGTTTTAGCAGAATAATTCAAAGGTAAAATCACAAAAACGGCAGCAGTTAGAAGTTCGATGATAAATCATGCATACTGACTGTCGGTATTGGTATCAGTATCGGTATTGATATCTGCGATATTCACTTGGTATTAGTTAGACACCAAAATATGCAGTATCGCATGCCTCTAGTTCTTAAGTGGGAAAGGAAAAGTTCTATTTCCTTTGAATGTAGACTAAGATGTAAATTAAGACTCGAAAACGGCCTTGACCTCAATTCTTACAAAAATAGAAGTTCACAACAAAAAGTTTTTAAAGTTGTGATGAGTTGATTATTTCTTTGTTGTCTCGATGTTTCCCTTCAGCACAAATCTTAAGCTATTTAAAAGGCTCTTTGTTTTTCTCCAAACGGTGCCACGTTTGTGAGAAAATTCATGATAAAAGTGCACTTGTGGTTGTGTGTGGTTCATCCTCGCTCTACTGAGGCTCTTATTTGTGAAATCAACACCAATACATCTGCTTTCTTCGAACATCAATCACAATTTCAAAGCCGACACCGAACGAGAGTCAATAGCAGATTAAGTCGTCGGTCCGTTACAAACGAGGCGCCGCTTTCAAGAAAAATATTCACCCTGTGAAGATCTGTCGACAGGACGTTACACCAACAAAATAACCAGGCAGAAATTTCTGCAAAGTTTATTAAAGAGTCTCATGGTTTGTGCCTCATAGAAAAGAAGGGAATAAAGGCCCAAAACACACACACACACACACACACACACAAATGCAAACACATTGGCTTTTATCCTGCAAACTGCAAGGCCGGCCAAAGTCATCTGGAAGCTTCCACATGCCAATGAATAAATAAAGCCTTAATTAGTAAAGAAAACAGCGCCACCTGTTGGCGTCCCACCCCGGCGAACCCAGGCTATTATAGCGGGCTGTGGGACGCACCTGAGCCTGCAAAGGTTCTGTGTAAAGAGCTGGCACCCGCCAGCGCCGCGGTGTTTCATCTGGGCCACCCATGTAACCATGTGTGTTGCAGCGCCTCCATTTGTAAAGAGGCTTACTGAGCATATGTGTTGCTATTGTGAGGAGTGTGCACGTGCTCAGTACGTGTGTGTGTGCGCGTGTGTGTGTGTGAGTAAAAGGTCCTACTGTGCATCCTGGGACCCACCTGGCAGTGCCGGGTAGATTCTGGAGTCGGAGCAGCTGGCCTGGGGGCTTTTCACGGTGTTCAGAGAGTGTGTGTGGGTGTGCGTGTGTGTGTGTGGGTGTGTGTGAGAGGGATCTTCCATGGCCTGCGTCCCACCAGAACCAGGCGGTACAGGAGGCAGATGGACAGGCCAGAGACCCTGCCAGAGGGCCACAGGGGCCACAGGGCTCAGGGAGGGAGCTGAGTGAGATCAGTCTGCAACAAAATAAATAGAAATACAAAGTGACTGCCATAAACTTTTCCAGTGTTTTGTCGCATTTCGACCACAAGTTTCAAAGCCTCTTAATACGACCAAATGTGATGAATAAGAACATAATTACAACATTTTACCAATTAACTTTGGTCTAGTTTCTAGTACAAATGTCTCAGTGTTCTTGAAATAAGACGATATTGACTCTTCTTTTAGCAAGAAGTATGAGTTTGCTTGTTTAAAGTGGATGATTCTTAGATATTGATTTAAAAAGCAGTATTTCCATTGGATTATTTAACTTATAACAAGATATTTTTCTCATGTTAGAAGCGAAACAACCTGCCAAAGGAACAAGTGCTTTTTTTCATCAGTATCAAGTAATTGTTGACTTTAAAAAAGATGAAAAGTGACATCTAGGTAACTAGATATATATATATATATATATTATATATATATTATATTTATTTTTTTTTTTTTTTTTTTTTTTTACGCATGAAAATATGAAAAGTGTGTGTATTCCTTTACATTTCTCCTCTTACTCCGATACCCCTAAATAAAATCCAGTGCAAGCAAATCGCTATATCCCCCTGTGTTAATATCTCAGGAGTATTTTCATAACTCAGTATAAATAATGACTCTGCAAAGGCCTCAAAGGTTTGTTGGAGAACATTTGTGAAAAGAAAGTTGCAGAGAAATGACACGGTGAGCTTTTACAACATCTCAGCAACGTTTAATACATCATCCGACAAGTGGAGATCCACAGTTCAGACCCCGTCATGCTGTGGGATTGGTTTTCTTCAGCAGCGACAGGGAAGTGGGTGAGAACGCTTGAGAAAACAGAAGGCACAGATTGAGCCTGTCAGAACGGTGCAGTTCAAGTCCGGACCAAAACGCAATCAAGAATCTGCAGCAAGTTGATGTTAAAGGTTCAGTTTGGCTGAGCTTGACGTATTTTGAAAATGTTGAAATGTGTTGGGGGGGGAAAAAATGTCTGTCTATAGAAAAAACTTACAGCTATAAGTACAGTGGAAAAGTAGTTCCTCTTTAATATTCACTTATGTGGAGCTGAATACAAATGCCCTGCAAATATGATCAATTTTACCAGTAAAAAAGAACAAAAACTCACATACTTTCCCTTCCACTTTAAGTGACACACTTTTCTATTTTATTCCAAGTGCTAAATTTAAATTAAAATGCATCAAAGTTTTAAGATTATGATGTGAAACTATGGAAGACGTTGAAGGCACACAACAGTATCTGTATTTAAAGGGACAGTCTCGTGCTTGATGGAGGAACTGTTGTGACAAAAGTGCTGAAGGCAAAGTGTCAAAAAAAGCCAGAGCTTCTTAAAGAGACAGAGGCCCAATTTCAAGGCATTAAAAGTGTAAAGTCAAATTTCTTTTAAGTCAAGTTTGATATTAAATCCAGCAGTGTTTCCTTAAATAATGCACGCAAAACGTTGCCAGTACTCCACTATTGTAAAAATACACAATTTCCAAATTGTAATGTTCCGTTAAATAAGAAAAATCCGTGTTTGTTGAAATATGAAGCAGTAATTTGTTCAATGGTCGTTGTGCTGCCATCTGCTGTGTCTTCTGAGTACTGCAGAACGATGGGGCCTGTCGACAGGATGAGTGGAGAGTCGGAATCAGCCACCGACTCCGGCGGTCCGGAGAGCCACAGATGCTTCCCCATGTTGTGTGTTGACTCTCCGTAATTTGTTTGCTCTAATTTGTTTTGCCGAGCCGGGGGAGTTCTGATTTGAATTTTGCTCCGTGTGTGTTTACCCCTCTTTGTGGATCGCTGATCTGTTAAGCGTAGAGAGAAAGGGAGAGACAGTCAGAGAGAGGAGCCAAATTAAAAAAAAAAAAAAAAAAAAAAAAAGGAGCAGTGCAGATTGTTTTAAGCTCTGGCAACCCCGTCAGGCCCAAAGGCCTCGCTCGCAGCCTGCACCTGCTCCATCCCCCGGGAGCCTGGTTCCTGAACCGTGGCCCTCGAATCTTCTCCTCAGGCCCCCTGAAGCTCAGCCACCTCATCCCCTCCACATCTCTCCTCTCCTCCTCGCTGAACAGTTTTTCTCCTTCCATATTTCACTCCTTTCATTTCTTCTCTCCTCTTCCCCCTGTGACTCCCAACAATCCCTCCATCCCCAGCTCTCTCTTCACTCCACCACCTGCTCCTCCTCTTAACCCTCCTTTCGCTTTTTGGTCCTGGTTCGTCCTGCGTTTGCCCCTGCTGAACTTTGTCTTCCCTGCAGCCCCTCGTTCCTTTCTTTTCACCTTCAGTAAATCTCTGCTGCTATTGGCTCGTCCTCCAGCAGCTGACATATCTGGAACTGTTTTCATAACACAATTGGACGCAGAAAACAAAACCAGAAATATGACAATTAGGAATATAAAAAAAGTAACATCTGCCATACCATCTTTACTCCCTCAGGAGATGAAAAAAAAAGAAAAATAAATCTTAACAAGATGTTTAAAATTGTCACAGCTAGGCTTTATTGAAATCCTCCAGTACGCCCCGCTCTTTATGACCGCACAGCCACAGGTAGTTGGATCAGTCAGACCCACATACAGCAGGATACACATTGTCACACAATATTTACATTACACCACCATTAATTGCTATGACATTTCTCCAAAAACAAGACATCTAGTTTTAATATGGCTTGATTAAATCAGTCCAACTGTACGGTTTGTGGTGACCGGATCGATCAGGTCGGACAAGAAAACATGTAGGAAACAGAACCTTAAAAGTCCAAGAATCGAGCTCTGACCTGAAGCTATCAGGATACCTGGTTACTGAAAGGTCCGGTGACAGAAAAATCATTTTGGTTTTAGTGCCCAGCGACTAAAACTGACCATTTCTGTCCCAGATCAATGAAGATGAGTGGAATTTTATAATATGTCATTTACACAGATGTTTTAAACAAAAAATAATCCAGTTTTGAAAAAAGGAAAAGTGTTCTTAGAACCATCATTTGTCTGTTTTGGAGTATAGAAATGTTGGGTAGGTTTTTTCAACACTAGCTTCCTTTATTCAACGGTGATGTGGCAGAAAACCAAGAAGTTGATCTCGGGACAGATGAGTCGAGGGTTGTGGTTTCTAACGTTTAAACTTTTTAAAACCTTTATCTCGGTAAATGCTTCGGAGAAAAAAAACAAAAAAAAAAAACCAGGGTCAACATTAACCTTCTAATTATTTCCAGTTTTGAACAGAAACCTCGAGCAGCATATCTTCCTGTTTGGCTGCCAGACGCTCAGTTGCTGCACTTTACCAGCCAGGCACTGGCTTAATTGGCGAGTCATTTGTTTTGGAGCAACCATCGTACGTGGGATTTCGGTTTTCCCTCTGCTGAATGAGCGGCCTGCTGCTTCTGGGAAGGATGCTAATGAGAGCAGCGACACTGAACCAAAACAAAACAGAGAGGTTGTGTCACTGGAAAAAAAAAAAAAAAAGAAGCGATTTGCAGATAGCTTATGACAAACTTGTCATTTCAAAGAGAGTTCGTTTTCTTTGCCTTTTTTTTTACCCGATATACAAGCTTCTCACTTTTTGTAACAGCTTTACTCTGAGAAATCACTCATCTGGTGACGACTGTTCCAGACAACTCAGAGCAGCAGAAGGTGTCAGAAAAGGTGACGAATACAATTCCACTCATCTCATTTGTTTTATGGAGGTCCATGAACCACCATGTGTGGGAAATGTATTCTCTAATTTGACCAATTTTAAATACAGACGTGAACATATTTATTGGTGACAGCGGTAAAGATGTGTGAACAGCCCTAAAATTAATTATTGTATTGCAGTGGCATAATTTCACACAGGAAAAAAAGTCGGGATAACCCAATTAAAAATGTAATTGTGTTTATTGAAATCAAACTTGTGGGTAACAATCCTTTTGACATAAATGTAGATGACGCCTTTTTGAATAGATTTATTGTTAGTTGTTTTGCTGGGATGTCCATGTGATTTGACACAGGAACTTGTTGCTTTAAGCCACTAGACTAGATGTTAATTCATTTTTATCTTCCTGCTACGCATTGTGTGATATTGTAAGGAGAAGAAAAACATCTTCAAAGCTCAACTGTTAGGGAACATTTAACTTGTGAAGCATGGCAGAAAACAAAACTTGTGTAACCATCACAAATGTAAACATACGGTTTACTTAACTTCAGTAGTACTCTAAAACACTCTGAGGCCTTGTTTCCTGTCAGACGAGACAATGACTGATCTTTTTAGCATAAAATATTAAGTCACTTGTTTTTTCCTGGCATAAATGCAGGATAAAAAAAGTTCAGAAAATGATCTCATGCCCTTTATTAGGTACGGTAGAGGACATGTGATGCTGAGACTGCTTGTCTTCCAAAAGGCCTGGGAATCTTGTTAGCGTGCCAGGCATTAAGATACCAGAAAATTTTACATCACAATCTGCTGGACTGCAATGGGAAATAGAAAATATAAAATCCAGGATGGACCAGCTGGGCGTATTGTTAAAAGAGACCAAAGATCTCTCTGTTTATGCCAACTTCATTAGATTTAACAGGACCAGACTAATATTTATTTCCAATGCTGGATTTCCCCTCGTCTTTAATTAACAATTGGATGAAAAGACTGGTAATGTGAAATGATGGTAAAGCAAGGAAAGATGAATTCATTTTAAGGCTTTTCGCGCATCTTTAGCGGCGGTAGCAGCAAATGTGTTCACATGTCTACTGCTAGTTTCCTGTTGTGTCATCATTTTTACATCCATCACGTTGCCGTTTTGAGCTCTTCTACCTGAAAGCTCTCCAGATTCTTGTGGTTTCTCATCTAGCTCCTTTTGGTTTGAAATCTTATCTCATTACATAAAGAGATTTTCATGAACTGTCTCACTGATGACATTCGCTCAGGGGAACATTCACATCCACACAGCGAACAGGAGCGATGCATTCTCCCTCACTGAATAATCATTACTAGGACCTCTGTGGTTTCCCATGTTACCTGCATCATAGCATCTCTTTTTGGCCTTTACAGCAGATTTTCCTTTAACATAAAGTGAAAAAAAACAATTCCACTAGTGCAAAAATAATACATCTCTGACAGCAATAAGAAAACACAAACATAATAAAAATATATATTTGTAAACACAAATTGATTACAAAAAACCCCAAATGGCACTGTTAATAAATTATGATAGAACAAAAAAAAAGACTAATGTCACCACTTTATAAATATTCCGAGCACTAAGGCTGATTTGTTGCTGTGTGCTCAGTTTCAGTTTGCAGCTACGCATGCACCCACACACAACACCTACACGCTGCATGACAAGTCACCAATGAATAGAAATTACAATGTCAGGAATGAAGGACAAATACTTTGTTTGTAGCCGTAAATGACTCATATCTCCTGCAGAAATCTGCTCCGTGTTACAGCAAAGGAAGGACAAAAGGGATGTCTTATGCCGCCATCTAGTGGTCAAATATGGCTCTGACACATCAAATAAGGTGAAATTAAAATAAATAAATGAAAAAAATTGAAGCTTAAACATAAAGTGCATGTAAATAATTAATAAAAATGAAATCTGGTAACTGATACAGGCACAAATTCTTTCTTCTGCTCTCAATCCAATAAACCTGCGACTTGACTGGGGTTGGAGATGATGAAGTCATAGACCTCCTTTCCTGGTGTTTAATCAGATTTCAACAATACACAGCAGCATAGAGGAAATGACACTGGGATCTGACGGACGAGAAGTGGCACTCACTGTTGTCTGTGTTTACTATTCAGCACACGGATGGTAAACAGCAGAGACACGGCAGCTGTTCCCTTTTGAGCCACATGATCAATCTGCACCTGTTGGAATGGATTTACACATTTTTGACACATGGCAGAGTGGTGATTAGTTGCATCATCTCATAGCAAGTGAAGTGCCACCTGTCACATCTGCAACACTTCCTCCTCTGTCGCCGTGCTTCTCATGAGATCCAATGTTTGGTTTGTGTAACTTTTGCACCGGCGACTTCTGGATCTGAGGACGAGACAAGTAAGGCAAAGAGGAACTGCCAACGCGACAGTTCGGATGGCAAGGAAGGGGACGAATGGGTATGCTATGTTTTATTATGAGGTTTACTTTGTATTCTCTGCATATACACACCCAGTCTGTTGGGGGAAGTTGGAATTAGCGAGTGGAGACGCTGGACTAGTTTCTCCAGATGTGCAAAGCGTCATCTGGTCAGGCTGTAGCTGCCTGCTGCGTCCGCTATTTTGCTTTCCTGTTAAGTCCCGCTCTTACCGGTCACAACTCAAACCTCCAGGTCTGGCATCATCTCCTCTTTGAGCTGAATGTCGTTTTCGGAGCCCGTCCCCACGTCCGAGTCAAAAAGCGAGTGGTCCGACTCGGGGGACGGTGTGTGTGTCTGTCTGGTGGACTGGCTGCAGCTGTCACTGTCATCCAGAGTGTCAGTCCTGGAGAACAGGCCAAAGTCCAGCAGGCCTGCAGGGCTGCTACTGCTGCTGCTCTCACTGTCTCCGTCGTAATAAAGGTCCTCCACCTCCACAAACCACTCAGGCCAGAACTTCCTTCGCATCCGCTCACAGAACATGGCCAGATTAATCAGCTCTCCTGAGAAGATATTAACCACAGACACGGTGTTTCACAGCAAGAGTTAATAAATATTTCCAGAATTGGAATCTTACTGCATTCAGTCGTTCCTTGTTCCTCTGGATGCTTTTCTGACTGAGCAACTGCTGCTTTTATTTAAAGGTATGGATGTGTGGTTTATTTCTGCTTTACTGTTTGCTTCAGGATGGAAACATGTCAGAGATAAGACTGGGGCAGAGTTTCGCTTTCTAGATCAAAACATATTACATGTTAAGATGGCCCAATCAAAGTTCAGACCTGAAACGAACTGGGAACTGATGCTCAATTATCAAGGTGCTCCATGAACTTCGATTGTTATACTGATCCTTTAACTTCTCCATCTATAGAGAAATCATTTTAGAGATTCACATGTCAAGTTTATTGTTTCTTAAAGATCTGATTGTAAAAGTTTTGTTTCTCTCATCATTAGGAAAAATGAATGCCCTTGTGATGGAGAGCTATTTTAGTATTTTTTGTCACATTCTAATTAGAAAAAGTGATTTATTATTCTTCTATCAAATGAAGTTTAAGGATAAAACACCAATGTGTTAAAACCTTCTTCTGTCGACCACTGCCATCTTGTGGTCAAAGGTAAAAAATCATTAAATATTCCTTAGGATTTCCTAAAGTCATAGAAAACCTTCTGCATAAGTCAGCGTCATTGTGTCTTTACCCTTCAAATGGCTATCTTCATTGGCCACTCTGGTAGTTGTATGGATTATTAGAGCTAGTCAGCCCAATTTGGAGGATAAATTCACATTTTCAATACAGGTTTAAGGATTAAGGACTGAGACACTGGCTTACACAGCAGAGATTTGATTAGACTTAAAGGCAAAACTCGGAACAAAACATCCAGAACAAAGCATTATTTATGTTTCATTTACAAAAAAAAATAAATAAATAACTAAAATAAGGTTAAACACATGTAAAAACCATCTGAGGGCTGCAGTTTCAGCCCTGTGGTTTAGATCAAAGCATATTTATGTCTAACAGCGGCCCAATCAAAGCCCAAGTCTAATTTGAAGAACTTCGGCAAGACCTGAAAATTATTGTTCCCAGACTATCTCCCTTTCTGCTGACTCCAAAAACCAGCTATTATCTTGTTTGTGTCAGTTAAGAAGAACCGCGATAAAATACAACTGAAGTTTGCGGTTGTAATACGACAAAATATAAAAAGGTGCTGACAGGACTCCAACCTTTGATGAGTTGCTCTGGCCGGGTCCCAGGTAGAGTCCACATAGCCTGAGCCAGATGGCCGAACACTGTGGCGTCTAACGTTGACATCTTGGAGCCCATAAAGTATTTCTTGTCTCCTATAGGACAAAACAACAGATGCGTTAAATGCAGAGATTTTACAGCATGAGCTCAGCTGCTCCTTTGCTATAAAATCACTTCATCACATGTCACCATTTTATCTTTATCCTAATTAAGGATTGGGCCAGTTCCTTTCCAGCCAACTTCTCTCTCACTGATCTAAATGAGCTGATGATTTCCTGCTCCTACCCAGCAGAGTGGCCAGGGTCCTCATGTCCTTCTCCATCAGCGTGTAGACCTCCTCCTTGGAGAAACGGCCGATGCCATGGCCGTACATCTCTCTGCGCACCATGCTGCCAGTCAGGTGGCTCAGCAGCCATTTCAGCGTGTCGCTCAGAGGACCGTTCATCGCCAGCAGCTTCTGGGTTTCTTCCACGTTGTCCACCCACTGGCAGTATGCTATTGTCCTGAGGGAACACGCAGAGTAACGACAGTTGAAAATATTAATGAGAATCGAAAGCTGCTCTGCCTCAACGTTGAGCTCACTGCAGTAATAGGAATCTCATGTTAAGGTAAAGAATTCTACCGGTAATTTAAAAACATTGAAAAAAAGGCAGAAAATGGTGGTGTAAAAAAAAGGCTGGTGGAGAGAAGTTAGTTTTTTGGATTTTTTTTTTGCTTGACTGAACTCACCAGTGAGTGACTGGTCAAAGTTACAATGTACGATTTTTATAGTCAGAAAACACTCCATATGTAAATACTACCAGGTCACACTGAAAAAAAAGAAAAGCACCTGCTAACCAGGCTATTATAACAAAGTGAGACTATGTTGGTTATTTTGACGTGGCTTTTTCATAAAAATGACTGATGTTTACCGTTAGTAGTAACTACCACAGTAATCATGCTAAGAGCTAATGCAAGATGCTAAAGTTACCTTTATTTTAAATTCATAATAATTGTGTATTTGTTTTATACAAATTACATACCTCACCAACTAAAATAATTACATTAATGCCAGAAACGGTAAAAAAACAAATATTTTTCATGCTAATTATTTTAGCTCTTTCAAAGAATCTGCAATCAGCAAAAATAAGTCAAAGCTTTACAGAAAAACATAAACCAGGAATCAATTCAAAATCTCTGGCTGTTACATCTCCAGTCAGATCTTTGAAGTCTCTTAAACAGTTTCATACTATGATGAGCTTCAACCTATCAGTCCATCACAAAATCTGAAGCCTGATGTCAAACTCCCTTTTGAAAAGAAATGGAAGAGGTCCAAATGTCCTGGAGCACTCCTTCAATATAATGTGTAGGACCGGTTCCTTGACACAAATTCAATCAAAGACTCTGGGCAGTATCATGTCTGACTGCACACTGACCCTTGTATCTGATATCCCAAAGACTGACGCAGCTTTGTTAAAATAAAAAATAAAAACTGTTCGATGTGTGAGATGTTAGCAAGTATAAAGTCGCCCAAAGCGACTGCTTTCTAAAAAGGCTTCACACATACTAATAATAAACATCCCCAGCAGCGGTTGTGTGGTATTTAAGAGCAACATGCAAGCTGCGGCCTCTGGGGCTCAGGAAACAGCCCGCTGATGCTTGCATGCATCTCATCACGTAACGAGCAACAAGCTGTCACAGTGCCCTTCATCAATAATTCAGCCCACAGGTCTAAATGTGGGTCTAAATGTGGCAGGTGGATGTAGTGGCACAGAAAGCAGCCAGGGGGGAGGAAGGAGTGGAGGAGGATGTGGGTTACAAGAATGACCTCAGCTAATGCTATGAGGAATCCACTAAGTGTGGGGTTAAAACAAAATTTTTCTGGATACTGTGTCCTGATGTTATCAAAGGGATGGAAATGAAACAGCAGGTTAAAGCACAGTGTGTGTGTAGGGGATGAGAGGTGGAAGATGGATGCAGCTTTTAGGTAATGGAAAACAGCCTGTGTGTGCTGGAAGAGGGGTGAAAACAATCTCTCAGAAGCAGAAGTAGCCTGCGTATCTTCCAGTCGATCTGGTGTGACTCAACATGCCATCAAATCAGGAGCCGTCAGGGTCGGATCAGCCCATAGAAAAATGAAGAGTGAAGCAAGAGGGCCAGTCAGGGAACAAACCTTTTTTTTTTTTTGTTTTTTTTTTTTTTTTTTTTTTACCGGAAAGACAAAGTGGACATTATGTAGCTAAAATAATGTGATGTAAGTTTGTACCAAGTTGTTACACATCCAGTCTTTCATGATGTACCAGGTCTCCACACTGTTAATAAATGTCAGTGGATGTTTTTCTATTGTCTAAAGAGTGGAAAATGTCAATATGTTTGTATTCAGTGGCAAAAAGCTTACATAACCGAGGAAGAACAAAAGATTTCTTGTCGCAGAATGTTCTGTGAGCGTTCCTGTGGGTCACCTCCTTACCAGTAGAGGTGCTCTTCAACCATCTTGGTGACTGCTCTGGACACGGCTATTTCTTGTGGGGTCAGGTTCTTGTTCAAGTTGAGCCCCAGTTTCTCCTCCAGAAAGTCTACGATGAACTCTGACCCCGACACCTGCTCATGGTTGTACTCGATCCACGGCATCTTTCCCTGCGGTGACAGCTTCCCGTCAAAGTAGTTCTGCAGGTGATAAAAAAGTCCTTTGTCATTGGTACACAGGCTTTATTTTGAAATCGCTTTCTCTAAGGATGATAAAACACAGCAACTGCAGAACGTCTCTGTTACCTGGTAAGGCAGATCCAACATGCGCAGGTACGTCTCTATTTTGAGGCAGAAGGGGGAGAGGCTGGGGATGCCGTTCTTTGGTCTGGAGAACTGATGGAGGATGATGGCATCTTCAGAATCCAACTCCTGCTCCTTCCTACACACACAGAGATGCAGAACACAAATAAATAAATGTATGCATTTAAAAGAGTTCATTTTTATTCTATTTAATCGACTATTTTGATCTCATTGTTAATGAAATGGTGGTTTCTTTCAATGAATTGATTCGTACGAATATATTTTGTCACCTGGTTTAAGCTTTACAAAGAGAGGACTCTGAGTTATCAACCTGAGATGTTCATCACTTTTAGAGATAATTTATTCATGCAGGGTTATGGAGCAATAGGTATTTTAAGATAGCTTGAAGAGAGGAGAAGCAGCTTTCAGCATCAATGCACCAAAAATTTGGAACAAACTTCCAGAAAACTAAAACAGCAGAAACCCTGACCTCCTTTAAATCGCAACTAAAAACACACCTGTTTAGAATTGTATTTGAAATGTAATATGTAACAATGTATTGTCTATTATACGTTGCATGACTTTGTGTTCTTGTGTTTATGATGTAAAGCACTTTGAAATGCCTTGCTGCTGAAATGTGCTATACAAATAAAATTAGATTTGATTTGATTTGAAAATATAGCTGATATGCCACAGTCCTGCTCCAGCGTATCAGCTGAGCGGTATCAAGGGCTTGTGAAGGACTTGAATGTGTAAAGTAAATGAGTCATTCTCCCCCAGCTCAGAGCAAACATAATGATCTGATCTGAGAACTGCAGCCCGGAAACACTTAGTGGTGTGCTCATTTGTAAGAAGAAGAAAACTTCATGAGGGGGAAAAGGAGAAATCAATCACACTTTTCCTCATTTTCCTGCTCACATCACAATATTCAATCAAGCGACTGTTAATTTAGTTCCTCCATCAGGACGATTTTTCTTAAGAGCTGAAATAATAATACGCAGTAGAGGAGATAGCTTTGGTATGCAAGGCAAGATAAAGGCAGGCATGGGCTTGTTTTAGATTTTATAGAAAAAATGACCTCGAGTAAAAACACAAAGGTTACATTACGTTATTGCACTGGAACCACCAAGGGGAGAATTTGTTGGGGTAAAAAAAGTTTACACAAGCTGTCAATCACAGTGAACTGCTGGCAGTTTAGCATCTGCATTAATATCAAATGAATGATGTAATAAAGTGACCAGCATGGTGAAAACCTGTGACAAATCACAGTAATGATTTATTATTTTACCACCATTTGGTCCACACTCCTTACCAGTTGGTGGCGGTAATGCACTACTAAGCTATTCGCCAACTGGCATTGAACAAAAAGATAGAAGAAAAACCAATTACAGTTCCTAGAAGACAGCTTACCCTATACTTTTGACTTCTAAATGTGGAATCCAATCAATTTTAATCTCATCTGATCAGTCGCTGACTGACTTCTCCAGATGTGGCTAATTCCAGGTCTTTCTGAAGCTCTTCACAAATAGTCCTCGGCTCTTGGACAACTTAGTAGTTTAGAATTGCTCTGTAACCAGTGTAAAAACTGTTAAGGTTGCAAAGGTCTTGAGAGAACTCATTATTTTTGCCAATTATGAGAAGTTTCTTGTGCGACATCGTGATAATCAGACCCCTGGGTCTAGGTTAAAATCCGTAACTGCTTTCTAGTTACGGATAGATTTCGACTGGTGTCATGGCATTCCCTGCATCCTTGTAACCCCGTTTCTTCACATGCTCAATACTTTTTCCCAGTGGAGTCTTTTCCACATCTAATACAAATTTCACATCAACTGCACCTGTGGAAATACATATACTTGGAAATTTGGTGATTTGTTCGCTGATTAACTTTTATTATTTTGGTTGTGATGCACAAACTTGAGCTAAATTTCTAGAATAAATATTTTTAAAAAAACATCGTAGTACTTTTCAAGTAAACATGTATCTTCAAAGTATCAATGAGATTACATATTGTGGTCTTAAAAACAGTCATTTCTCAATAGGATTGACAGATCTTAATTCTAGTTTTCACTAGTTTTGCTTTTCATGGCTGGACAGACTGTGTCTAGCTCAATGCAATCTTGTTTTTTATTTAACTTTTAACTACAACTGTATAGTTTTCAATTTCTACATTTTTTTGTTGTATTTCTAGTATTGCCATTATAGACATGTCTGTTTCCATTTGCCATGCGATGTAATGGCATCACTATTGGAAAGTATTCTATTCCAGTGAAGGCCCATGCTTGGCTTTTCAGTGTGACATGTTTCATGCAAATATTGAGTCATGTTTCTGCCCATTAGTTGTTCTGTCATTGTATTATCACATAAATAATCAATTAAATGCTACTTTCTATGTCACAGAGACTTTTTGTTTTGTTTTTTTGTTTTGTTTTTTTTTTACTTTAAATGAATTATATCAGTGTCACTTCAACATCACGGAACAGTCCCTAGAATCTGGTTTGTGTGCACATTGACCTCGCTTTAGTTATTGATTTGTGCAGCATAGGGCTGTCCTCGCATCTCTCCAGCTCAGCACTGCAGGACACACATGAGATGCTCTTCTCTGTCCTTGAACTGTTTCTTTGCCTAGTTTGCTCGCAACTACAAAAATGCTTTATGTTCAGCATTTGTTTCGGCAAACTATCACTGGACTCTGTCCTGTTTGTCCCTCTTTTTGCAAAATGATGACAAACCTTTCAATGGCGGCTAGTTGTTAGTGATTGCTCTTCTGGATCGGATTTGCAGAACAAGTGCTGTCATATACATTTGAAAACCAACTGCACTTGTTTTTTTCTTTTGTTTGTTTTGGTCCTGTGTTCTGAAGATTTGTGTTTGTCCTGCAAGTTCCCCTTTTTGCAGCTTAATTGCAATTGCCATCTAACAAGCTGTAGCCAAAAAGGCTGTCTGGTACCTTTCTAGAGGAATTTTAAAAAATCGCTTTCTATTGATTCAATTGAAAACAATTTTTTTATAAAGGAAATGTCTCCTGTGAAATATGTTACAGTTTTTCAATGAAGGTCTTAAAACTGCAATTCTGCATTTTGTACTCAGGGTGGTGTTTGTTTTAGAGCAAGCCTCCAGACTGTTTCCTCTACTTAATAATAGAAAAAACACATTTCAATAAACTTCAAGGTTTTTAAACATGCTTTACAAGTTGTTATGTTGAGCTGTATTTTACCTACTTTTAACCTAAAGTTTGAATGAAAAAAGGAGATGAAATGAAGACCTCAAACTTTTTTCTTATTTTATTTTTTTTTTTACACAGGAAGTATCTCTCAGGGAGCAGGGTAATCTAAGCTGGTTTATTGATGCCACTGCCAACAAACGCGTCACTTGGTACAAACAAATGATTCCGGCAGGCTGCATAGCCGACATCAGCAGCCTGCACGTGATTCAGCAGCGGCTTCAAACACAGCTTACAGGAGAAGGGGTGGGGAGAAAGCACAAACTATCAGGCCACTGTAACAGGATGTACTTACTGCCCAGCACTGGGCCGCTCCAAATTTATAATCCCTCTCCTGTCAGGCACGCATTGCTGCTCTGACAATAGTCCAGTGTTATCAGCGCTGCGATTGGAGACGCTGGAAATGTAATTTTATTGAGGGTCTTCTCTGTTGTTTTCATAAGCATCTGCGGTATCTTTTCATCGCAGATGAATGTATTACAGGGCAGGTTGAATGTGAAGCTCCAGAGTTTAGGCTCACTCACAATGTTTTTTTTTTTATTTTCTCTAAATAGGCTACGTCTTCTCCTTAGTAGGAAGAAATAGACTCCGTCCTTAAGTCTTCTTGTAACATCCACCTATTTATGATACCATTTAACAACGTTATAAAACCCAATCAATCCCGATTATGGGATTATAAACACTGACTGGTGAAAGATAATAAAAACACAGTCCAGGTCGCGTGCCCACCTACCTGATGGCGAGCAGCTCGTGCAGTAGGTAGGCTGCAGCCGCCAGCAGGGCCCCCCCGGTGATATAGAGGGTCTTCTTCCACCAGGACTCCGAGCCCAGAGCCGACATGATGCCGCCGTAGTCCTGCAGGGGGAAGGCGATGATGTAGCCATACAAAGACTGCTGCTGCTCGGAGCCGCACAGCCCGAGCGGCAGGCTGTGATTCCGCCCCAGTTCCACCACGCACGGCCGGGAGGAGGCGAAGCCAGCAGCCCAGTGCATCCTCCCACCTTCGGTTACAACCACCCGGCTTCCTGCCAGCTGCGGGCCCCGTTCGGCTTCATCCAAGCGCCCGGCGGGTTACCCTACGGCATGGCGGCGGCGGGACTGCGAGCTATTCATCCAGAACGCTGTCTGGAGTAAACATTGCGGCTCCTTCTTCCTGAGAAGATGCTCGGCGCCCCGCTCACCTCCCTCTGCGGCTTCTACAAAATATTGTTACTCATGCTGCAAAAACAGCAGCGCTACTTCCGGTGGTATTTTTTTTTTTCTAAATAATGGGCCACGGCTGAGGTTAGTTGAGGGTTTCACGATGTTCCAATCTACTAATATTCCTTTCATTTAATATGAAGGTTAGCCAAATAAAACAATAATAAATAAAAACTCTAATAAAGGCGCGGCGGTGACACAGGGTCACAAGTTCGAATCCCGGTCGGTTGAGAATGTCTCTGACACATTGACTGACATTTAACTAATGCAGAGGACATGCAGTTGTAGGGGTATCAAAAATTACTGTTTCAAAATCACCATCAATGAAATACATAATACTCTGAAGAAGAGCCACATATATTACATTTGCTATTCATCTTTAATATACAGTGTTGACTAATAATGATAATTTAAAAAAATCAAATAGTAAAGAAGTTTGAGATAAAGAAAGGCTGGTAAAAAGCATTAACAGATTTAAAGTCATCTTTTACTTTGTAACAACATAGTGACATCATTTCCGCCGTGGGGATACTATACTCCGTCAGCTTGACGTAGTTGTCCTATTGTCTGCTGGGGTCACCCCGCCCTGACGAGCCTCCAGCAGCATCCCAGGGAAAACACGGGCTCCTTACGTCACGTGCGTCTTTGATAATATTGAAACGACTTCCCAATGACACAAAAGTCACAGATAAAAACGCGAACAAAGCATAAATGACTTCCGTTCACGACGTCGGTCAATTAAACGCTACAATGTTACCTTTTGTAATACTTCAAACGCCGAACGAGGTACAGGCTGCCGTGACACAAGTTAAAATATAAAATGGGAGCAAGTATCTCTAGAAACTGACAAAAGTTTTCTACTCACTCTGGGCCAACCTCGAAAGTGAACCAGGACGCTCATATCGACGGCTCAATCCAGCAGGAGCAGCCGAGTTGGGAATGAGTTTGCTGGGCATGCCGAGGACAGGAGGACGGAGGCAACTTGGAGGAAAAAAAGACGACCCTGGAGCTCAATAGCTAGACGCCATACTGCAAGACGTCCCGCTGCTGCCGTCTGCGTCCGCGTCAGGGAGACCGACTCCTCCGACGACGAGACGGGCGAACTAATTGTGGACCTTTAATCTGTAAGGCGTTTAGCGTTGCCATGGCGACTGTGCAGCCGTCGCGCGCCTTCTGGGAACAGCGCGAGCTTTTGTTATTCTTCACAGCTCGGCGAAAAAACATGCTTAACGTTGTGGGCTCATTAATATGACATAGAATAAGTGATATATATTTTTCATTAACAGGTAGTCGCAGTTATGTCCTAATTAGAACATGAGTGAATGTTGAGAATAAGTCAAACGTGATTTATTCTCCGCTGCGGGGACATTCTGGATTACATAATCCCTCCATAGGAGACCCATTATAATCCCAGAGGAAGGGAGCCCCTCTCCCTCTGGATGGGCTTAGAAGCTAAATATGGAAACTAGGAAGCCATGTTTTTATTAGCAGACAGACACAAATAAAATAATCCCAAGACATAACAGTGAAAAGGTCCATTTTAATAGAGGAAGATGCATTTTGATGAACATTCACTGATGCAGAATGGCATATGATGAAAATAACAATATGCTCTGACACAGAGAAATCTTAGAATTACTCCAAGGCAAGCTTCTTTTCATAAATCGACCACATTAACACTTTGACTAAATCTCATGTATTACTGACTAGTGCACAGAGGTCATTATATACCAAGTCTGTCTTTAATCCTTGAATAATCTCAGTCTCTAATTGGTGTTTCACAGCTCACCCAAGGGACAAGAGTCCAGCTACACACCTCAATCCCTGTTTTCTTTTCTTTTTTTTAAACAAAGTGGTTCAGCTGTGTGCGGCTTCATTGTGGCCCCCAGGCGTAGTGCTGCCAGCCTCAGCTTCATCGTCCTGCTTGACAGCATGGAGGGCATAGTTGATTTCGGTGTTGTTCGTCCAACTCCAGGCTCCAGAGAGTGGGTTGTACAGCATTCCTTGGACAGACTGCACCAAGAAACCATCTGAGAAGGGAGAGGAAGGCAAAAGAGACAAACCTTCATCATTCAAAGCAATTGGGATAAAATATTTGGGTGAAACGCAGACAAGGAGTTAACATCTGTATGTGTGGGATCTTAGTTGGTACTTTTCCCCTCTTATGGACGTTTGAGACTCACTGGACTCCAGGAGGCACTCCAGCTCCACGGGGCTGATGAACTTCTCCCAGTCGTGTGTCCCTCTGGGAACAATGTGCAGCAGCTGCTCTGCGACGACGATGGCCAGCGCATACGACAAGTTGGTTTTATTTAGAGTGGTGATGAAGAGTGAGCCTCCTGGCTGCAAAGAGAAGAGGACCTCACAGGCTTAGCTCAGAAAATTCGGACGTTTCTGGATCGTAATGCATCAAAACATAGAGGTGTAATAAGCTACTGTATTTTTACCACACGTTGAGACGACTCTGCCAGTTTTTTTGACATCTCAAAGTTAATGTAATTATCTTTAATACATACACAGACATCATTTTTTCTTATCTTATTTTATGTTTCATAAACAGAATCCAGCTCAAATTTGCATCAGATGAACAAAGAGTTTGAAAAACCTGAGATCAGGACTGAAATGATTAGTCGTTTATTGAAATCATAGTCAATTAATCGTTAACTGGAGTATAGACTCTTCCTTTGCTACAAACAAGCACTAGAGGAATTCTCTTTTATTGCATTGTGGGCAATAAAATGTTTATTTTATTGTTTTTTTTAAAAAACAATGGAATTATTGTATATTTATTGCATTTCTAGTATTGTAGAAAATAAGCTTAAATGAAAAATTTGAAGACTGTGGCAAACTTTTAAGGTTCAATTAATCATCAAAATAATCAGTGGAATAATCGATTACTAAAATAATCGCTGGCCGCAGCTCTATTTTAGATAAGAACTCAACAACGGCGCCATACGCCAAGCGCTCAGGTGAACGTGCGTTACCACAGCGATGGACACGGCCAGAGACGTAAAATGACACCAGCGCGTAGAGACAACGCACCTTCAGAATGCGACTGCAACAGATGGCGAAAGTGTCCAAGTCGGCCAGGTGCTCCACCACTTCAGACGCCACGACGGCGTCGAACTGGGTGACCCCCTGCTCTTCGTCTGAGAGCTCCTCCAGGGTGCAGGCCCGGTAGGACACCCGGTCGCGGAGGTCCGGGTCGTGAGCCGCGTGCAGCCGGGCGATGCGGACGCTGTCTTCTACTGGATCTACGCCCGATACAGTGGCTCCCAGGCGACCCAGTGGCTGTAGAGGAGAAGGGGGGAATAAACACACAAAAATCCACTGAATCTGTATAGAAAAGTCACTTTTAGAGACTTTTAGCTGCTTCCCCTCAATCTGGCTTTGTATGTTTTACATAAGTCAGACTCACTTATATTAAATAAATAGTCCACACCTCTGAGATTCCCAGTTCAAAGTTGGAGTGATATTAATTACAATAGCCTCACGAATCTCAGTTACGGTCAGTGGTCATGATTTAACAATAAGGAAGGAGACTAAAGAAAAATAACAGCATTCAGAAGAGTCCCAAAGCAAAAACCACTGCTGAACAAAAAAACATCTCACATTTTCAGAACTTTTGAGAAAAACAATAGAACCATAAATTCAACCCTCCATTTGGACAATCCTGTTATGTTAGGTGTTGACTACACTGCCCTCTTGTGGAGAGATGTAAATATTTGCCTAGGAGGCTTCATTCATTCATTCACACCCCCCCATGTCTGATCCACTCTGATGGGCAACGCAACCCGACACACAGTAAACATCTCTGATCCTAACATGGCCTTATATGGGCGTGTGGGCAAGTCTCCATAAATATGACAGGATGTGCCCGAGAGAGGCCTGATTTTGTCATCCCGGATCACACAACCGAGCTGGTTACGTCCTCCGTTCAGAACACAGCTGTCCACCCATCAACAATAACAAACAGATAAACAACTGTGGACGACTGGCTGTCCAGTCCACCACACCGCGACCAGTTAGACCACAAGAGAGTAGAGTCGGGACGACACCGGCGTGCGTGTTTTCACATGCGGATTGGAGTCGGCTGCCACTGAAACGTGAATGAAAAGCTTCAATGCGACAGAAAAAAAAAACAGCAAGTAGACAGATACTACAGAGCAGGATGTGTCTCTATGCCCACTGCGTTGCTCCCCCAAACAGAGAGGGGAGGGGAAAAAAAATACAAACAAAAAAAAACACATATCTTCACCTCTGAGAGCAGGCCTCCACCACAACCCACATCCAGGATTCTCAGTCCTGCCAGCGGTTGCCCGGGGTGACGCTCTCTCTGCACGTTCAACAGATTATCCCTGAAAGGATGGCAGAGCCGTCAAAAGTCGCACATTCAAATTTGCTGTGGAACAGAAAAGTTTTTCTTCCAGTCTGGATAAAAACTAGCTCCTGGTGACAATAAGTCAATAAATTTAAGACTTTGACAAATCTTTTTTAATGCCAGTTTGAAAACAAGATGGGAAAAAACTAAATTGTGGGATGACGAAGCATTTCAATCAAGCAGAACTTAAGTCAGCGAAAACAAATGTCGTCCACCCAACTCATAATAAATGTGCACTTGGCAATGATAGACGTAAAAAATAAAACGCTATCCAGCTAGCAAGGATATGCTAGCAGCTAGTTAGCGATAGCCTCAACCGCTTCGAGTCGCAGAATGCAATAAAGATAACTCAAGCTTTTGCTTGACAGAAAACTGTGAGATTAAATAGTCCTGCCATGCCAAAATGTAAGACGTCTGACATATTTAACACCAACTACCTTTTTATTGACATTAATTTAAGACATCTTAATGCCTTAATGTCACATACGTCAACTTAAGACTTTTTAAGGATGCGCGGACTCACTGTAAGAAGCGGAAAATCCAAGATTCAAAACGCTTTTCAGTCGTGTTTCAAAACCCAACTACGTCTCAAGAACTGGAACAAAGCAAGTTCACC